CTAACCCCAAACTAACCCTTACCCTAACTTTAATTAAAAACAAAAAACACGTGACTGGACACGGCTTTAGACGTCCCTCAAAAATGGAAATGATCGTTGTTGTTTATACGATTTCGATATTTAAAAAAATGCCGTCAATTAGTATTAGGGTTAGTGTTAGAGTAAGGGCAGGATTTTAAAAGAAAAAACTATACTAAAATATCTCAAGGAATTTTTTTTGCTAGAACGCAGAAGCTAGTTTCATAAGCGAAATTACAAGATAAAAGCGATTTTTTAAAAAAAATGATAATTTTAACGTTACACACTGATCGTTCATGTAAATTCGACGTAATAGATGCTGATTGGATAAAATGCGTAATTTACAAATCGGGCAGGGGTAAATAGATGTACCCCAATCAAAATTGATTACATACATGTAAACAAATTTAAAGTTTTTGGGGATATTTTTCTAACTTTAAATAGAATTGAAATAAAAAATTTACGACAGGGTGAAACCTGAGTTGCGAAATAGTGAAATCCGCTATGATAATCACACAAGGGTGAAATCCGCTTTTATATAATAAAAAAAACATAATAAACCGCGGATTTCACCCTAACACGATCTACAATGCGGATTTCACTATTTCGCAACTCAGGTTTCACCCTGTTCTAAAAATTTTATTTAAATTTGTCAGGTGGTTGTCAAAAAAGCTTTGCTAAAAGTTTTAAAAAAATGGTTATTGATAGAACAGATTTTTTTTCTAAGCATCGAGTGAAGTTTTCTTTATAACCACCTAACTAAATTCAATGAAAATTTTTATTTTTTAATTCTACACATTTGTATAAAAAAAATTTAGTTTAATTTGATCAGGTAGTCATATAAAAAACTTTGATCAAAGGTTTAAAAATTTTTTAAAAAACATTTTATCAATAAACGGAACAGATTTTTTTAAGCATTGAGTTAAAGTTTCTTGAAAACTATCTATCAAGCTAACTTGAAAATTTGACTAGGTGGTTGTCAAGAAAGCTTTGCTTAAAGTTAAAAAAAACCCGATTCGCCTATCAAAGTAACTTAAATTTTTTAAGATTGTGCGAAATTTTCTTTAACAAGATCTGATGAAAATTTTTTTACAAATATGTAAAATTAAATAGATCGAATTTGGTCAGGTGGTTATCAAGAAACGTACATAAATTCATTAAATTTAATCATTATCACGTGACCATGAACCGAGCACAGATTATAATTTCGCTATGAAGATTTAATATTTACAAACTCGATAATACAATCATAAGAATAAACGCGATTTATTGCATTTACTGTAATGATAATACTTTGGAAAGAAAGATGATATCTAGGACCATGAAAAGCGGTATAAACCCTATTCATATCGCATATTATGTAAACATTTTTTGTTAACACCAATAATTGATTTTTAGTAAAAACTCCATTATGAAAAATTTTTTAGAGAATTTTTCTTAGAGAATTTTTTTTAGAGAAATTCTCTTTAAGAGAATTCTTTTTTAGAAAAATTCTCTTTTAGAGAATTCTTTTTTAGAGAAATTGTTTTTAGAGAAAGTTTTTTCAGCAAAATTTTAGCAAAATTTTTTAAAGAGGACAGTTACTGATACTGACCAATTCGACATCTATTTCGCTGAACAAGTTTTCCAGATTTATTTAAGATTTATAATTGGAGAACTGATTAATTAATAGCATTTTAAAACAAAATCAATCCATAACTACTCCACTATAAACGTCCTTCTTAATAAAGGACATTTGTCCTACTATAAATAATCAACTAACGCTAATGCGTGTTTAAATTATTAAACTATAAATATTTAATAAATTATATACATTGTTTAATCTTAAGATGCAATTATTATCTTAATTTGATACAGTGATAATTTAATCATAAAAAAAAAAAAAACTTTGATGCATATAAAATAAACCTCTTTTTCCTAAACTATTCCCAAGCTCCATTAGTAGCAGCTATTACAGCTTCTTCCACACTTAAATGGAAAAATTTCTTTCCTTGTGAAGTAATGATCGTATCCTCACTACCTTCAATCACAACTTCCGAAATTTCCGCAGATTTTTTAGTTTCCATGGATAGTTTAATTTCCACTGAATGTTTACTTTCCAAATCATCAATTTTTGCGGTATTAGTTCCAATATCGACTAACGAAGCCTTCTGATCTACTGAACCAAAACCCGCAATTATCAATGCTCTTTGTATTGATTCATTAAGAATATTCGCAAAATGATATTCCACTTCACAATCAGCATATTTATTTACAGTCCTTTTAATATTTACTAATATTTGTACAGCAGTCGAGTCTACGATGCAAACAGCAGAAAAATCGAATACTATTGCTTTTAATGGTGGTAACTGAGAGTTTGATTGAACGTTAGATTCATAAGTTTCTTTAGCTTCATTCCATGGTAGATCGTTTGCTTTTGTAGGCATTTCAGCCATTCGACGGGTATTAGCTTTTACATAACTAATTACTTGATCTTCAATATAATCAGCATTTGGAAAGGTAAGTTTTTGATCAAATCGAAAGATTAAAATGCCCTTTGGTGGGCTTTGAGCGCCTTCGAATGTTGGAGTTAACGGAACATAAGCATATTTATTGGAAGATTTTCCATTAAACGAAGCAATTGCAATGCGACCAAGAGTCTCGAATCTCGGTCTCGATAATCGAAAGAGAGTTATTGCAAGTGAATATAAAACAGAAACATAAATTCCGATCTATTTTTATGATAAACTAATATTAATACCTTGATGATAAATAAAGTGGAACAATAAATTTAATGAATACATACTTCAACGTTGAAAAAGAAATTGAAAATAAAACCAACTATAAAAACTGAGAAATCCAAAACTAAAAATAATTTATGAAAATTGGTTAGCGTTAATAAAATTATAATAAAAATTAAAATTAAAAGAAAAATTGAATACTATACAATCAATTTGCCATAATTGTTTTATATAGGTGGGTGTGGAGACTAGATCGATCACAGCGTGAATAATAACAGCACTGTTCGGAAATAAAAGATTTTAATGATTATAAAAACAAATTTCTGAAGAAACATCAAAAATGCTACTTCTCAATGAATATTACTTTTTTTTTGATTATTCTTTGAGTATGTAGCAGCAATTCGTTAATTGAAATCAGCGATATGATTTCCTAAATAGGAGATGCGCTAAACCATACATTAACGTTAACGTTAAAATTTATTTTTTTTTATTGATTGGGATTTAGCACATTTCCTAAAATAGTAAACAATGTGATAAACATACTTGAGCGCGGCATTAGGAATGTAATAAAATGCAGGAGTTAAAGCGTAAAGTGCCAAAAGAACCAGTATACCAGAAAATATACCAGCAATTGGAGTCCGTACACCGGATTTTGACTTGATAGCACTACGAGAAAAAGAACCGGTAGCCGGATATGCACTAAATAAACAGCCAAGACAATTTGTGGCACCGATAGCGATACATTCTTGACTGGCCTCAACTAATTTTTTATAAATGTCAAGAATATTTATACTTGTTATATACAAGTAAAATTATATTAATTAAACTCACTTCTATAGTCATTAATTCTTCCAAAACTTTTAGCAATAGCAATATGTTCCAGAACTAAAACTATACAAATTCCAGGAAGATATGGGGCGCAAATGCTTAAAAGTTTGCTATCAAGATTCTTTACGCCGACATCATGGAGTCCGGAAGGTACGGTTTTCAAGATACTTAAGGGATTTGTGGATTTTCCAATATTGAGTAGATAGGCGATGAGAGTGTAAACAACCACCGCGAAAAAGTTGCGTAAAGTGGAGATGAAAAAGAAAATCTTTTTGCCATCAGGATAACGCGTAGTAAGGAGTAACATTCCAAATTTAATAGCATATAAGAGAAATAAACAAGTGAGACCAGCAGCGGCATCAATAGTTGTACGGCCCAAAGCTCCAAGAGTGTTTCCAAGAACTAAGTACGTAGAATCTCTAGTATTTACGCCAGTTATGCCCAACAAGCCTGCAATCTTTATAATAAAAATCAAAGTGTTTTTAACTAGTATTAATAAAAATGCAATAAATTAATAAAAAATATAACTTTACCTGGCTGATAGTGATATTGACAGCAGAGCCAGTAGTGAAGCCGGCAATGACGGGATTAGAAACAAATCTAACAATATAACCAAGACGTAGTAGACCAAATAAAAGTACGATAAGACCAGCCAAAAGACTAAAAGCTGCAGCAATTGTTGTATTTTGATAACCCGCATTATCTTTATTACTAGCAATTGCGGTTAGAGCTTGCCCTATGAGCAAGGACATGACCGCGGTGGGACCAATAGTCATGTCTTTCGACGTTGCGAAAAGACAATATATCGTGACACCAACAAAGGAAGAATATAACCCATATTCCACCGGCAAGGCCGCAACCTTAGCGTAAGCCATACTTTGAGGGATTACCACCAATCCCACAGTTATCCCGGCTATCAAATCACCGGTCAACCATGTGGTATTATAACGACCGATCCATGAGAAAAGCGGAAAAAGTGATTTTACATATTCAATAGAAAACCCAGGGATTTGATGAACGGTTTTTTGAATGTTAGCTTTTACGTTTTGTTTCTTTGGTTCGAAAATATAATTTGAATCGGCCATTTCGATCATTTAATTCATATTACAAATGAAGGGGTGATTTTTATTAATTTATTAGTTGTACAAGATAATATATTGATTATGTCAGTATATTATCAATTTTAAAATATATTCAAATCTTTTTTAGATAAGGTAAATATTTATATCGCATCATATCTGTGATAAAAAACGTTTGTGCACGATTCCTTTTTTGAACCCATTTTTTTCTAGAAGGATTGAGATTTTGTCTCACTACTTACGTGTAATAATAATTTTTTTTTAAAAAAAAAGAATTGCCATCATTATTCCTAGGAAATGTTCTTGGATTTCTACTAAAAGCAAAAAAATTTACCTACTTTTTTAACCGTCAAATCCATATATATATTACTATAGTATACTATAGTATCGGTAACGGTAACGGCAACGATAAATATCGTCGAAAGAACATTTTTATGTGAAACAATTGATTATTGCCATTTATAGAACCTTATTTACAGTTTAAATGCTGAGATGCGAAATGCTTAAATGCTTTAAGGGGGTAGTTCGATAATTTCATGTACGTACGTACGTACTTTGCGACCATTAATTGTTACAAGTAGAATAATAGGATAATTTAGACCGTTTATTCTCCGAACTTGCTGTCGGGTTCTTGTTGATCGCATTGGACGATACAAAACTTATCGTTATTTAAAATAATACACAGATTTATTTATGAAATTGATCTAAAATTTGTGTTTGTTTTTAGAATATCATAACTAATATAAATTAAGGTATATATTAATTTAATGGTTACATTAACGTTGGCGCTAACTATAAATTGTTAACCTTTCATTCAACAAAGATCTAATCACTATTGTTTATCGGGGAATTACTTAGTAATTATTCGGAATGCACCAATGCTCTTTAAATTTATTTGGATATTTAATGAGAATAGAGTCATACAATATAGCGATAGAACGTATGTAGGCCTTCACGCACAGATATACACAGATATTAATATGTACAACAAATATTTTATTCGCAATTTCAAACAAAACACTGCAAATGAAAATAAATCGCCTAGCAAGCAAATTTGGATACGTACTAAATTTTTAGAGGCTTATTTTTGTGCATTTTTGCCAAATTTATTAGTTCTTACCTCCCTATTCCCTAATCTACGTACGTACATAGAATAAAGGCATATTGTGTACGTATATAGAGATGTTAATGGTCTGATCCAGTCTAGTCTATTTGGGTTTAGTCTGTCTGCTTTTAATATTGAATTGTCTAAACTGGTTTAGTTTTACAACTGAGAATTGATATACTATATACTGTAATTTACAAAATCTTTTAAATCTTTCTAATAATGATCATAGTTGGCGGTAGAGTTAATGAATTACGGCATTACGGCATTTTACCATATCCTAATTAAAGGTTGGGCTTAGCATAAATTTAATCGCTGGGTCATCCGCCTCTACGTATCTCAAGTGCACTAGTGTATGTACTTACGTGCGTACGTACTAGAGTTGCTGGTGAAACTGGTGACTATCTAAAGTCTGATTGGCTATTAAGTGCATAGCCAATCAGATTTTAGACTGTCACCAGTTTTCACCTACTTATGGGTCCAGGGGAGACCGTCCCAAATTAGGAAATTGTTATCTGAGTCACCCGACCGGTCACACAATTGATAAACAAATTTTTTTTT